TCATGACCCCATTTGGGGTTTTCCTGGCAAAGATACTGGAGTGCTTTGCTATTTCTGTCTCCAGCTCATTTTACAGATGAGGAAACTGAGGCTAATAGAGTTAAGTGATTTGCCCAGTGTCACACAGCTAGTGAGTATCTGAGGCCAGATTTGAATTCAGGTCTTCCTGACTCCAGGTCTGGTGCTCTAGTCACTGCACCACCTATTTGCCTTTTACGTGAAGTTGTTAATTGTTTCAACTTCTTCTACTTGACAATCTTTTAAATACTTAAAGGTAGCAATAACCCCTTACTCCCCCGATGAGCCACATAGTTTTGGGGTAGATCCTATGTAATGCCCAAGTCTGTATTCTTTCTACCATCTCATACTACTTCTCTCAGGAAACAGTAAAATTACAAAGATAAAAATGTCATTTGCATAGAAGTTTCTAACTCTTGTGTTTTCATTGCACATAGAAGTGCTGCCTTAACATGGGCTGCAACATGCCTGGGAATTGTTTGATTCTACGGCAGCCACCCTGAAAAGTTTACACTCGTAAGAAGAGGGATACTTGGGTCTAGCAGCAGACCAAACTACTCTTTTTCTCTCACATAAAGAAGTTCTGAGGAATTGATGAATGTGTTTTTATTTGCTACCTTGTTCAGGGTTTAGAGGAGGAGGAAAGTGAAAAAAAAGACAGTTCATGGCATGTATTAAAGGATCCCTGCTTTGAAACCTATCTTCATCTCTGTTCTCTGGTGTCAGACAGAATAGAGACTCTGGTTGGCCTTTTTCTTTCTCCTTTACTTTTCTCTTATTTTTCATTTCTTTTCTTCTTTTTCTCCTCTTCTCCTCTCTCCCTCTCTCTCTCTCTCTCTCTCTCTCTCTGTATATACATATATATATATATATATATATACACACACAAACACACACACACACATATATAGACAGCTAAGAACAAAGTGGCTCTGATGGGAGTCCTAAACTTGTTAGGCACTTTCCTGGGATTTAGGGCCAAAGGAAGGTTTTGCCCCTTAACAAAAGAACAGAAGGACATTGTCTAGATCTCTCTTTCGCCTAACTCTTCCCCACTTACACCTTACCTTGCATTATATATGCTTAGGTTGACTCTCCCCAAATGCCATCCCCAAGTGGAATGTAAGATTCCTTAAGGCAAGAACTGTGCTATTTTGTAAATTTACAGAACCAGCACTTAGCATGTAGTAGGTTAAATCAATGTTTCCTGAATAAATTTGAATGAAACAATTTTGGTTACTTCACATTGCTGGCTGGAAAGCATTAACCATCCTTAATTTTTTTTCCCACCAGGGCAGATTGATTATCCAACCTTTACTTTCCACTCTTTCTTCTTTTATGCCTTCTGGTTTTATTTGCATATACTCTAAAGGGTCTTCCTCTTGTTTTATTTCAGGAAAAAGTTGAGGGTGGAAGGTTTGAAATTGTTTTCTGATGTGATGTCTTGGAATCCATCTTCAGTGGGTTTTATTCATTCTGCTACTCAGGTGCCCCTTTCTACACCTAATCTCCTTCCCCTCCTCAACCTTTGAAGTCATCTAGGTCAACCCCCTTGCTTAAAAATTAGGAAACTTCATCACACAGAATCAAAATGACCTAGCCTAAGGTTATGCCAGTAATAAGTAGTATAACAGGGATTCAAGCCAGGTGTCCTGACTGCCAATCCAGCACCCCTCCAGCACCTCTACTACAACACTGTGCAGGTAAAATCAGTAACACTTGGCAAGTGATTAGATATAGGGGAAGTGAGAGTGAGTCAAAGATGAGTTGCCAACCTGGATGACTAGAAAGAAGGTGACATCTTCACCAGATATAAGGAAATTTGGAAGGTGGGAGGATTGGAGCAGGTTTAGCTGAGGGGTGGAAGATAATGAAGTTTTTTTGGGGATATGTTGATTTTGAGATGCTAGTTGAAACAATTAACAACTTCAGCAAAGTTACAGGATATAAAATAAACCCATATAAATCATCAGCATTTCTATATTTTACCAACAAAGTCCAGCACCAAGAAATAGAAAGAGAAATTCCATTTAAAATAACTGCAGACAATATAAAATACTTGGGAGTCTGCCTGCCAAGACAAACTCAGGAGCTATATGAACGCAATTATAAAACACTTTTCACACAAATAAAGTCAGATCTAAATAATCGGAGAAATATTAGTTGCTTATGGGTAGTCTGAGACAATATAATAAAAATGATAATTCTACTTAAGTTAATTTACTAATTTAGTGCCATATCAATCCCACTACCAAAAATTATTTTATAGAGCTATAAAAAATACTAACAAAATTCATCTTGAAGGACGAAAGGTCCAGAATATCAAGGGAATTATGAAAAACATGTGAAGGAAGGTAGCCTAGCCATACCAGATCTCAAACTATATTACAAAGTGGTAATCATGAAAACAATCTAGTACTGGCTAAGAAACAGAGTGGTGGATCAATAGAATAATTAGGTATACAATTGTTATTGTTTGTCCTTCTTTCTCAAAGAGTACCAATGACATCAGGAGGGTGATGTCTTGACTTGCAAGTGAATTGGATTTAAGTGAAGCAGGGCTGTGCAAAGTCACCAGCCTCACTGTCTCCTCCAGAGCCATCTGGGTCCTGTGGCAAGATATAGATCAGGATGACTGGAGATGGCCCTGGATGCAGTGGGAGACCTTGGCCTTTTTAAGCTAGGGTCTTTCCCAGGTCTCAGTTTATCTGAGGCAACAGTCAGCCAGTGATTTAAGACTATGTAACAAATGAGGCAAAAGATGGCCTAGTTTGCCTACTCAAAAAAAAAAAAAAATCAATCTGGAAAGGAAAGACCTTCAGGGTTTCTGGCCTGAAGCAATTGCTATTTACACTCACTCTGAGCTATCAAACCCAGCCAATGACCAAGTGAGGCGTGGGCTGGGACCTATCGTTGGCCAATCAGTGAGAGCCAGAGTGATTTGGATTTAAGGCATAGTCAAGTAACTACATTTGAATTCCAATGTGCTTATCAAAGCCTGGTTTTTCAGAGCTCTATTTCAAGAAATCATAAATGAAATTACTTGGGACAGAAGAGTTAATTGTCCCAGACAACATACAATAGTAAATGACCATAGTAACCTAGTGTTTGATAAATGCAAAGATCCAAGCTTTTAGGACAAGAACTCACTATTTGACAAAAATCCCTGGAAATACTGGAAAGAAATTTGGCAGAAACTAGGTACAGACCAACAACTCACACCATATACCAAGATAAAGTCAAAATGGATACATGATTTAGTCATAAAGGGTGATCTCATAAGCAAAGTAAGGGAGCGTGGAAAATTTTACCTATCAGATCTACAGAAAGGGAAAAATTTATGACCAAACAATAGACAGAGAATATTATGGGTTATAAGGGGATAATTTTGATTGTATTAAATGAAAAAGGTATTTTACAAACAAAATCAATGCAACCAAGATTAGAAGGAAAGCAGGAAACTGGGGGAAAATTTTTACAGCAAGCTTCTCTGATAAAGACCTCATTTCTCAAATATATAAAGAACTAAGTCAAATTTATAAGAATACAAGTCACTCCCCAGTTGATAAATAGTCAAAAGTTACGAGGGCCAGCAAGGTGGCACAGTAGATAGAGTGCTAGCCTAGAGTCAGGAAGACCTAAGTTCAAATCTGGCCTCAGACAGTCCCACACTATGTGACCCTGGGCAAATCACCTAATCCTGTTTGCCTCAGTTTCCTCATTGGTAGAATGAGCTGGAAAAGGAAATGATAAACCACTCTAAAATCTTTTCCAAGAAAACCCTAAATAGGGTCACAAGGGATTGGACATGACTGAAATGACTGAATAACAAAGGATATGAACAGGCAGTTTTCAGAAGAAAAAAATCAAAGTTCTGTTTATAGTCATATGAAAAAAATGCTCTAAATCATTATTGATTAGAGAAATTCAAATTAAAACAACTCTGAGTCACCACCTCACACCTATCAGATTGACTAATATGGCAGAAAAAGAAAATGACAAATGTTGGAGAGGATGTGGAAACATGGAGAGACTATACACTGTTGGAGTTTTGAACTGATCCAACTATTCTGGAGAGCTATTTGGAGCTATGCCCAAAGTGCTATAAAATTGTGCATACCTTTTGATCTAGCAACACCACTACTAGGCCTGTATACCAAAGAAAACAAACAAACAAAAAAAATAAAAGGCTCTATTCATACAAAAATATTTATGGCATCTCTTTTTGTGGTTGCAAAGAAATGGAGATTTAAGAGGATGCCTATCAATTGGGGAATGGCTGAACAAATTGTGGTATATGATTGTGATGGGTTGCTATTGTGCTATAAGAAATGATGAGCAGGATGGAAAAAACCTGGGAAGACTTATATGAACTGATGCAAAGTGAAGTGAGCAGAACCAGGAGAACCCAGTAAAAGCAATATTGTATGATGATAATCTGTGAATGATTTAGTTTTTCTCAGCAATACAGTAATCCTAAACAATTCTGAAGGACTCATGTTAAAAAAATGCTTTCCATCTCCAGAGAAAGAACTGATAGAATCTGAATGTGGATCGAAGCACACTTTTTTAAAAAACTTTATTTTTCTTTATTTTTTTGGTCTGTGTTTTCTTTTGTAATGTGGTTAATATGTAAATATGTTTTGTTATGACTACACATATATAACCTCTATCAAATTATTTGTCTTCTCAAGAAAGGGGGAGGGGAGGGAGGGAAAGAATTTGAAACTCTCAAAATTTTAGAAAACAAATGTTAAAATGTTTTTACATGTAATTAAGAAATATTTAATTAAATAATAAAAAATATTGAGGGGGAGACATCTTTCCATGTTCCATTTTGGTTGAAACTACAAGGTACTCAGCTAATTACCTCCAAGCTGGTTATAATTTGGGGATGTGGAGGGGGGTGCAGTAAGAATGGCAATGAAGCAACTCCATTCCAATACGTTCTTTTCTGAGAGCATCTTTCCTTCTATTTTCAGAGCCTAGAAGGAGGTTCCTACCGAGGGAGCTTGAAAGACCCCACGGGTTGTCTGAATGAAGGGATGCCTCCACCTACACCACCTCGGAACCTGGAAGAGGAGCAGAGAGCCAAAGCCCTCAGGGGCAGGATGTAAGCCAATGAGGGGGAGAGAGGGTTTGCGGCACTGAGGGTAGGGGGAGAATATTCTTCAACATATTCAAAAGGAGGGACAAGAAAGATGTTTTCCAAAGTAAATCACTGTAGAGTAGAGTCAGGATAAGAGGCAAGGGAAAATATAGCACAGATGGAGGGGCAATAAGAGACTGTTTTAATTATTATTTCTTATACATTTTGGAGACAATTTATTGATATCTTTTGTTTTTATATAACCTACATTTCTAAATATATTTTTTGTACGTCTCCTACCCAGCAAGCTATCTTTGATGACAATCATTTAAAAAGAGGATGGAAAAAAGGTAGAGCAACAAAACTAACTAACGTATCTAACCGAGTCTAACAGCATATGCAATGTGCTATACACATCATCCCCCACTATTGGGAAGAAACGAGGAAAGTACATTCTCCCTCCCTTCTCCAGGGCCAGCTTTGGTCATTATAATTACACAGTGTCCAGTTTAAAGGCTCCTTTCCATTTGCATCATCATGGGCCATGTGTCTGTTTTCCTGGTTCTGCTTCCTTCACTCTGTTTCAGTTGATAAAAGTGTTCCTATGTTTTTCTGAATTCTTCCTATTCGTTGTTTCTTATGGCTCAGAAATATTCCATCACATTTGCGTAGCACAATTTGTTTAGCAGAAATGAGCCTTTTCAATACCGGAAACTTCTTATGTCCACAGTATATAGGCTTCTGTTTAGTAGTAAGTCAAGCTGTGTGTGCTACAGAGAAGGCTCAGAACCCCTGCTGGGCCATATATCTAGGAAACCCAATTTTCAGACCTTACCTAGGGCTACCAAGGGTCTTGGTCCAGTCCTGCAGGTACCTTTCATTCCAAATAAAGTTGTCCTACAGACTTTCATACTTTTAAACATTGAGGAGAAAAGGGAGAAGGAGGAGGAGAAGAAGAAAGAGAAAGAAGAGAAGATGAAGGAGGAGGAGAAGAAGAAGAAGATGATGGAGGAGGAGGAGGTGATGATGATGACGATGACGACGATGACAATGACATCAAAGATACCTGATGCCTAAAAATTAAGGACTTTCTAGACTGGATTGGGTCATATGTTTAAATAGCAACCTTTAGTGGCAGTGTTACTGGAACCCAGCCCTAGAAATTGTAAATACCCTTTTCTCTACCCAGAGAAAAGGAGAAAGGAAAAGGAGAAGCTCCAGGAGCTGTGACCATTTAGTCTAGAAATCCCCAGGCATGAGACAAAGTCCATGGAGATGCCAGGGAGTGGTTGATGACTGAAGTGAAAGACCAGTGTGGAAAAGTGAGCTAGGTGGGGACCCCAAACACAACAGGCATTGTCCCAACAACGTAGAGTAATGCTTCATCATACTCCAGGACTGATAAGCAACTTCTCTCCTCCTCACCCTCAGTTTCCACCTCATTGGATTCGGGCAGTAGTGTCAAACTCAAATGAAGAGTCCTTGTCACATATTGGCTTAGAAAACCACAAACTATTGTTTATGTTGTATTTTTATTTATTTTGTTAAACATTTCCCAATTATATTTTAACCTGGTTTGGGCTACCTTCTGAGGCCAGTTTAACAACTCTGTATTAGGAAATCTTTTTCCCATGGGAACAAGCCGTGGACCCAATCTAACAACTCTGTGTGGTTGGTAAAAGACGATAGGAACACAGCTCTTGTACCTTGCTCTGCACAAGGGTTTGTGGGACTTACCATGGGCAAAAGAAAGAAAAATTGCTAGTCACATATCTGACACCACCTGAGTGGGATCTTATCTAGTAAGAGAGAAGGATGTTCATGATGCTTTCCCCTTGGTGCTTTGCATGATAGATGTGTTCCCAGAAGGTTGTATAGAAGTTGAGTTTTATAAATAAAATTTTGATTTAAGTGAACTAGGGGAGCTTTCTGTAACCTGGCAGTGAAACCTTTTGTATTGTGAATAATCCAAATCTCCTAGGTTTTGTCATTTTAGATTTACTGGGTTTTCTCAAAGTGTAGGTTGCCTTGGCCAAGTTGCTTCATTTCCCTGGGCCTTAGTTCCCTCATCTGTAAAATGAGGCTGTTGGACCAGAGGGCTTCTGAGACCCCCAGTAGTTCTGGAGATAGGATCGTAGGTACATTTAGTAACACAAGTTCTGGTTGACTCATCCTCTTCATTTCTCCCCCATACAACTCCTAGCCCCTCCCAAACATTTCTCAAGGTCACATAGATGAGTGAGAGGCAAACCTGGATTCATATTTGGGCCTCAGTGAAGCGGAAGGTGCGTGTGTCTTGAGCCTGCAATGTTTGGGGGCCCCTCGGGCTCAGGGTGCCTTGGTACATTTAGCAAAGTCAGTCACAATTCTTAGAAATGTGGGCCTATTGAGCTGGAAGGGCCCTTGAGAGATCATTCAGGTAATTTCCTGGCAGCCTGGCAAAGCATTTATTCCAAACCTATGGGCATCTCCTTTTCATTCCATCTGCCTTCCTCTCCGGGCCTCCCCCTCCTTCCTGAAGTGAATTCATCTAGTTTCTCGTTTCGCACACCTTGCTGACATGAAGTTCTTCATCTATCCTAAATTTATCCTGCTATATCTTAAGGCTAATTGGTGTTTCTCTGCCTCCAGTGGAGATAAAGAGATGTTTACTACTTTCTTTTATAGAACAACCTCATGGCAGATCAACTGGATATGAAGCATAATGGTACGATAAGATAGGATTAGACATTCTGCTTTGTAATAGTGGCATGTGGGAAATAAGGTACTAGACGGGATCCAGAGGATGAAGATGGCAATAGGGAGCTAAGGGGCAGCTAGGTGGTGCAATGGATAGAGCACTGGACCTGAGTTCAAATCTGGCCTCTGACAATTACTGGCTATGTGACCCTGGGCAAGTCACTTAGCCTCTGTCTGCCTCAGTTTCCCTATCTGTAGAATGGAGATAATAATATCATCTACTTCCTAGGGTTGTTCAAATGAGGTGATAATTGTAAAGGGCTTAGCACAGTGCCCAGCATGAAGAAAGCACTCTATAACTATTAGTTTTTATCCTTGTTGTTATTATTATTAAATCTGACCTCAGACACACATAAGCTGTGTGACCCTGGACAAGTCAATTATCCACTGTCTGCCTCAGTTTCCTAATCTGTAAAATGGGGGTAATAATAGAACCTACCTGTCAGGGTTGTTGTGAAAATCAAATGAGGTAGTATTTGTAAAACATTTGACAAACCTTAGAGTGTTAGATAAATGCTAGCGAATAAAAGTGTTAAAAAATACTGCTGAGGGGAAGGATCATAGAATCATAGCTGGAAGGATTCTTTGTTCTGTGCTCACTATTTAGAAATCTCTGTGCTAGGACTGGGGGAGATAAAGTTTAGATGATATCCCTGCCCTCAGGGAGTTGATAGTCTAGCAGCATATGGCACAGGCACTGCTGTCTGCTGCCACAGCAAGAGCCCTGATTCTTGGCTGTGCCGCGTTCCTCCAGTGGGACTCGAAGCAAGTCCCTCAACTGCTCTGACCTCAATTTTCTTCATCTGGAAAATGAGGGGGCTGGGCTAGGTGAGCTCCAAGGGCCCTCTCAGCTCTGGAGGTGTGATGCTGATGTGTGATCAGTGTATCACACAGGTATACGAAGCAAAGGGCTAGGTGAGAGCAAAGAGGGAGGTTATCACTGGCTGTGCAGATCAGAGCCTGTTTCCTGAAGGGGGCGCCATGTGAGTTGCCCTCTGAATCACAGGTAAGCAGTAGGCAAAGGTGGGGAGAGATGACAGGGACTTAGTGCACATATAGCCGTGGGGGCTTAGTACAAAGCACATGGTGCGTTGAAAGGAAAGGAAGGAAGGAAGAAAGGAAATAAGCATTATTAGGCACCTACTGTGCACTAGGTACTGTGCCAAGTGCTTTTCAAATACTGTTGCCTTTGATCCTCACAACAACCCTAGAAAATCAGTGCTGTTATTATCCCCATTTTACAGTTGAGGAAACCGAGAGAGATATAGTGTGATACCTAGTAAGTAACTGAGGTTAGATTAGAACTTGGGTTTTTCTGACTCCAGGCCCAGCACTATCTCCTGTACCACCTAGCTATCTCTAGTCCAGTTTGGTTGGTATGTAAACTGAATGCAAGATAAGGCAGGGTGGTGCCAAATTGAGGAAAATCTTGGATACCAGGTTAAGAACTTTGAACTTTACTTAATTGGCCATAGAGAGTCACCAGAGATTTTTTTTAGTCAAGGAGTGGTATGACCCATGTCTGAGACAGCTTAGTTTGGCAATGGAGTGAAGGCTTTTTGGTGGGGCAGAGAGCACAGGAAACCTGTTAGTAAGGTATTACAGCAGTTCCAGCTGGTGGTAGTAATGGTGTGTGTCAAGATGACAGCAGAGGAAAGAGAGCAGAGAGAACAGATAGAAAAGTTTGTTGAAGTAGAGTCGATAGGACTTAATAGCCACTTGAATGTGAAATATTGGAAGGAAGAATCAATAAGAACTCCAAGGTTTTGTACATAGGACATAGGAATTGGTGGTACCACTGATGGAAATAATGAATTCATGCGGGAAAAAAGAGCAGGTTCGGGAGTATAAATATTCAACTGAGAGTCAATATATGAAGACATAAATGGTACAATGGAAAGAGCATTGGTTCTGGAATCTGAGGGCTTGAGTACATCTCTTGTCTCTGATGTTTACTACTTGTGCGACCTCGGGCACAGTCACTTGGCATCTCTAGGCCTCAGTATTCTCATCTGCTAAATGAAAGGGTTGGGCTAATTAGTGTATACTTGAGGGGCTGTGCTGAAGTCCCTTCTACGTCTAAGATCCGATGTACTTGATTTGGAGACAGTGAGTGGGAGGTTCCAATGGGACATCCAGAGTCTGGTGTGTTGTCAGTAGAAGAGGTAGGTCAAGAGAGAAGTCAGGGCTGAAGATGATCCATGTGGGAAGTCATCTGCATGGAGATGGTAGTTGATGCTGTGCGAGCAGAGAAGAGAATGCTAATGAGAAGTTTAACTGGTCTGGATCATTGGAAAGGAGATTTCATGACAAACAGTGACACTCAAGAATAGCTGGTCATGGGGCAGCTAGGTGGCACAGTGGATAGAGGATTGACCCTGGAGTCAGGAGGACCTGAGTTCAAATCCGACCTGACACTTGACACTAGCTGTGTGACCCTGAGCAAGTCAACTCCAATTGCCTCACCAAAACAAACAAACCAGTCATTAAGGACAGAGCCTGGGAGGAACAGGCCTAAACTGCAGCTGGAGAGATTCAAGCAATGCAGACACAGTAACTTCTACTTCTCAAATGGCCCTTACCCCTAGGACCAGACTCTGGGGAGACAGAACTTACCGTCTATAGAATTAACTTGCCACTTAATCAAGGATTGCCTTGTGGTGTTTCTTTTTCTTAATCTTAAATAACTAAAGATTTAATTGGGAATTTTGCTTTTCAGTGTTTTCATCTTATCATCCCAGCTGGATTGTAAACACAGCAACTTACCTATAGGAGATGCCTCAATAAATGCTTATTGACTTGATTTGAGTGAAATCTCCTTCCCTGGAGAACTGAAAGAATAACATAGGGATCTATCTGTTAGGGAACAGCCCAGGGTAGAATTGCCTGGAGGCTGGAGACTGGACCCGTGGAGCCCTCCTGCCTCCGACTGCCCCCTCTGGTTTTTCTGTAGGAGGGCTTGTTCTCACTTTTGAATAAACTGTAACCATTCTAAGTCCATGCTAGTATATTTAGATGCGTTCATCCTTGTCATTTCCTCTCTGTGGCTGGAAGCATAGTCATCTTCACTAGAGAGGAGGGGGATGATGGAAGTATTCCTTACACTGATAAAGAAACTCCTCTTCCTTCTTTGTCACTCTTTGCCCTGTGGTCTCAGGCCTTGGCTAGAAGTAGGATCAGAGATCTAGGATAGGAAGGAACCTCAGACACCATCTAATTAAGTTCCTCAGGAACAAGGAAACCAAAGACCAGGGAGGCTGTGACTTGCCCAAAGTCATACAGAAAATAAGGGTCAGAGGTAGGATTTGAATCCAATACTTATGACTCAGAGCTATCTCTTCTTCTACCATATCATACTCCCATAATTCTATAATACTGTACAACTGGCTGTCATGATTATGTTATGTTTTGCAGAGCAAATATCTCAGGTGAATTTGCTTCCTAGGAGAGTGGCAACTCTGGTGTAGAGCCTGACCTCTGACAGGCCAGAGCTTTGACTTTTCTCCATCTTTTGATTAGATTCAACAATGCAGTTGTCCAACTCCAAGCTTCGCCAGCAAGGTTGGGGTTTAAAGCCCAAGAAAACCACACAGTTTCCTCCACCCTCCAGCCAGTACTCCTTAATTCTTGACTGGTTGTCTAGAAGGAAGAGATACGGAGAACAAAGGAATGTTGCCTAGGTCCCAAGGACTTGGGAACAACCTAGGAGTCAGTTTGAATAATCCACTGAGAAGAAATCTTCTTTGTAGGATACAAAGCTAATATCCTAGAGGTGGTCTTCCTTAGTGGTCTGACTGCATCATTTAAATCAAGGTGTACATAATATTTCCAATGGGAGGGATCCTGGGGGAGACAAAATCCCCTTTCTGCGATAGATCTCAATCCTGGGTCTTTGAGGGTTTCCTGGCCAGCTCCATAGATAACCACCTTACCCTGGATGCCTTTTTTTTTTTTAACTTCACTTGGTGTTATTAAACCTAATGGTCTCTAAAAAATAATTATCAAACAAGGCCTTTCCTTAGCGCCTGTCTGGATAACCAAAGAATAGAGCTGAAAAGAAAGGTAGCTATTCTAGTCTTAAATTGGCAGAGCTAGAAGGGGCCTTAGAGGTCATCCAGACTAACCCCTTCATTTTTTAGATGAAGAAATTGAGGCTCAGAGAGGAAACAGTAAGCTTGGGCTTAGTGATCCAGCCTTGTAGCATTCAAGACCTGACTTTTTCCAAAGAGGTTGCTTTATTTTTCAGCAAGTACAAATTTTTTGCTTCAGAAAAACATCTTGGTAAAATTCAACTAACATTTATTGAGCATTTACTATGTGCCAGGCATTTTGCTAAGCTCTGAGGATACAAAGAAAGGCAAAAACATAGTCCCTGCCCTCAAGGAGCTTACATTCTACCAGAGGGACAACTTGTAAACAGCTAGGTAGATACAAGCTATATACAGAACAGATGGAAAACAATAAAACTTGGGAATGGGGAAAGGCCTCCTAGAGTAGGTGGGATCTGAGCTGAGTCTTGAAGGGACTCAGAAACTAGGAGGCAGAGGCCTAGGGGATTATTGTTGTTCAGTTGTTTTCAGTCATGTCTGACTCTTTGTCACCCCATTTGGGGTTTTCTTGGCAAAGATATTGGAGTGGCTTGCCGCTTCCTTCTCCAGCTCATTTTCCAGATGAGGAAACTGAGGCAAACAGAGTTAAGTGACTTGCCGAAGGTCACACACAGCTAAGTGTGTGTGTCTGAGGCTAGATCTGAACTCAGTGAGATGAATCTTCCCCACTCCCAGCCTTGCACTCTGTGCACTATGGCGCCACCTAGCTGCCCTGGCTGACGAGTAGAGCTTTCCAAATGTGGTGAAATGCTGGAGCAAAGTAACTGAGGTAGGAGATGGAGTGTTTGTGTTTGAGGAATTCCAAAGCTGCTGGAACATAGAATACATGGAGCAGATTAAGGTACAAAAGGACTGGAAAGGTAGGAAGAGACTAGGTTATATACAGCTTTAAATGTCGAACAAAGTACTTACTATTTGAACCTGGAGGTAGTTGGGAACCCCTGGAGCTCATTAAGCAAAAGGGTGGAGAAGGTGACAGAAGTGGTCAGAGAAGCAAATATAAAAAGTGCTCAATAATATGGAGGGGGAGAGGAGTGGAAGCTAGCAACAGGAGAATTTGGGAAAGGTCTAATGTCAAAAGTGGCATCTGAACTGAGCCTTAAAAGGGATCTATGAGGTGGGAGTGAGAAAGATCAGTTCAGGTATGGGAAGCAGCAAAGGCTAAAGCAGGAGACAGAATGGATTAGGAGACCTGGGTCTGGATCTCAGCTGGGCACTTCCCAGCTGTTCACTGATTAGTTGTAGACTTTCTTAGCAAGTCATTTCATCTCCATGGGCCTATTTCCTCATTCAAAAAAGAAGGCATTGGATTGAGTGGTCTCTAAGATGCCTTCTAGCTCCAAAGCCTAGAGAAGGTCTACATGTGGTATAGAAAGAAAAAAGAATTCAAGGTTGGGAAAGAGAAACCCAGAGTTCTCTTCCCACCTTGGTAAAGTCATCCGCCCTATTTAGGCACCATCTCCTCCACCTTAATCGTGGAAAACATCCTCGAGAATGTGAAGGTAGAGTAGATCTCCCTCCTTCCCCCGTCCTTTGGATACTGTATAAAGAAAATTTTCCATTTTATCATCAAAGGTCAAAGGTAATAGTAATCCCGTGAATTTTAATGAGGAAGTTAAATAAGGAAAAAGCATCTCTCCTGAACACTAATAGAAAACCTCAATGTTCTTGTTTTCCCTTTCAGGTTTGTCCTGAATGAGTTGGTCCAGACAGAGAAAGACTATGTTAAGGACCTAGGGATTGTGGTGGAGGTGAGTAGAAAAGCACAATTTGGTGCATGTGATTCCTGTGTATTTGCAGAAATGTAGTTTAGACTTTCATTAGAAGCAAATGAATGGAGTATATCAGCAAGTTCATGCATAAATCTTTGGACTTTTCATTTCCTCTTGATTGGTTCATTGTAATATGGGTCTGTGTATATGATGTTTGAGGAATATGTAAGAGGCCATCCTTGTTAGAGAAAAAGGCCTTTCTTTGCTTCTGATATTTAATGAGACTGTCCAACTGTTAGCTTTCCTTCTGGAGTTGGGGAGTGCCATTTGCTCTTCGGAGTGAGAGCTACAAGGATCCAGTAAGCATGGGGAGGTCACCCTCATATCTGTGGACGTTAGAAGAATGGGAATAATTTAGATATTGGGCAAGGGAGAGAATGCATAGTATATTACAGTATTCAACAGCTATGACATGCAGGATGGGTAGAATTAGGAAAGGAGGCAAAAGCATTTATTGAGTGCCATCTATATGCCAGGCACTATGCTAAGCACTTTATAGATATTATTTCTTGTGATCCTCACATCAATTCTGGGCAATGGGTGCTATCACGATCCTTGTTTTATAGTTGAGGAAATCGAGGCAAACAGAGGTTAAGTAATTTGCTAAGGGTCATAAGTGTCTGAAACCAGATTTAAACTTGAGTCTTCCTGACTCCAGGCCCATCATACTATATCTGCTGTACCACCTCAATGTCTCTAATTAGGGATACTTGTGGTCAGCTACCCTAAATCCTAAGGTTAGAAAGAAAAGATTTAGTGCCCAGCATTGTGGACTAACACCCCACATCTTGAACCTGAGAGATCTATCATTCTTTTCCAAGAAGCAGGAAAGCAACTTGGACTTTTGAGTGTATTGTACATAAAACCCCCATGGACAGAGCCTATCCAAATTCATTCATTTATGCATTCTTCCAACTAACATTTTGGCAAAGGCAGTGTGATGAGGTGCAGATAGTCTCGAACTTGCCAACAGGTCATTGTAGCTGCCAAGATCACCATTTTTGTCTATCTTTTATATTTACTTATCTGTGTATATGTTGATTCACCCCTAGTAGAATATAAGCTCCTTGAGGGTAGGAACTTTCATTTTTGTGTTTGTGATCTATATACCCAGCACAGGACTTGGCACACAGTGGCTTAAGAACCATCAACAGTGCCATCCCCATTGAAAGTGATCAGCCAAGTTGGGTTGATCTCTGCAAATTACACCAAGTGCCCTCTGTGCTGATAGGCTGCACAGCATTGGGATTCAAAGCCATGAGGACTGTGCTCCAGAGGATAGCCAACTGGGTAATTAAGACAGGGTGCTGTTTACAGCCTGGATGTTAGGGATGACCATATATATTAAGCTTGAAAGGAACAGTCCATAGTCCTTTCTTTTGCACTATGTTATTCAGGTTTCAAATCCCTCCCTCTTCTTCCCTATTCCCCAATGTGAAATCCATACTCTGTCTCATATGCTTTTCCTATAACCTGGGTACACACATTAACTGAGAGTATGGGTCAACCTGACTTTTTTTTTCCTTGTTAAAAATGCAGGCTTTGATTGAGACTTAGTGTAGGAGTCGATGCCGCCAGAGCAGACCCTTCTGCCTCCTGGTTTCAAAGCTCTGAAGGTGAAATAGAATAACCCAGATCCTAAAAGAGTCACACAAACTTCTTTGTGCCTCAGTCTTCTTATCCACCAAATGGGACTGTTACCACCTGCCCAACCCCTTTCACAGTGCTATTATCAGGCTCAAATGAGAGGGTGGAAATGTAAAATACTTTACCTATTTAAAAGTAGTAATCTGAGATAAACTGTCACCTAAAAAGAAGAGAAAAACAGAAATAGGCAAAAAAGGTGGTGCAGTGTGGATATAAGGAATGAGCCTGGAGTCAGGAAGACCTGAGTTCAAATCCATCCTCAGACACTTACTAGCTGTGTGAACCTAGGCAAGTCACTTAACCTCTGTCTGCCTCAGTTTCTTGAACCATAAAATTGAGGATAATCATAGTTAGTACCTATCTTCCAGGGTTTTTGTCTGGATTAAATTTATTTATTTTTAAAAATGAAAGCTTCTCAAATGTTATTTAATTTAAATTTACTTGTTTAATTTAAAAATTGAAGTTTCTCAAGCATTATTTAATTGAAATTTATTTAAAAATTGCAAGCTTCAAGGAGGACACGAATTGTTGTTTGTTTGTTTTTTTCATGTGTGTGTTTATTTGTTGCAACACGGAAGCTTAATAAATGTTTATGGAATTGGATGGAGGTGGGGGAGTCCAAGCTCCCTGCCTTTTCCTTCTGACCTTGAGATGGGCAGGGAGGAGGAGATTCAGGGTTGTAGAGAAAAGGGCTTTCTTGAAGTAATCTCTCTCATGTTCACCTGAGTAAACTTCTTAGAACCATCACCATGTCAGGTGGAGGCGGGGTGGCCTGGTCAGGTCTGAGCGTGAGCAGGTGCTGTGCTGTGGCCATAGGCATGGTCCATAAAGGCTGATTTGCAGCTCTCTCTGAGAATACTCTCTGTTGACTTTGGCACTGCAGGGATTCATGAAGAGAATAGAAGAAAAGGGAGTCCCTGAAGACATGCGAGGGAAAGACAAGATCGTGTTTGGCAATATTCATCAGATTTATGACTGGCATAAAGAGTAAGTGAATGACAATGCTTCCAGCAAGACCAAATCCCTGAGTGCTCAGAACTTCTGAATCCTCCTCTTACTGCTAAGATACAAGTGGTTGGGAAAGGGTGACACACAGACACACAGACACACAGACACACAGACACACACACACACACACACACACACACACACACACACCAAAGCATGCCAGGTCTCGTGGTTGATATAGACAAGGATGGACATTACACCCAGTCTGGGTGAAATAATGTGGGGCTCAGGGAGATTACTGGGAGTGATGTCTTTGTCATTAGGGAAATAAATAGTTCTGAATAATGGTCTGAATTTTTCCCTTCTTCTTCCTTTTAGTTTTTTCCTGGCTGAACTGGAAAAATGTATTCAGGAGCAAGACCGACTGGCACAACTTTTTATTAAGCATGTGAGTGTCCCTCTGGGAACCCTTTCTCTTTTTATCTCCTTCCTCAAGTTTTTACATCATGGCATTGTAGAGAATGACCTATAGTCAGAGCCTTAGATTTAGGATGAGAGGAGACCTTAGAGGTCATCCCATCCCACCTCCTCATTATATCCAAGAGGAAACTGAGGCCTAGAGCAGTTAAGTGACTTGCCCAAGGTCTCACAGGTTTATTCCCTGTCTCTTACCACATTTAGTTTCATATCTAGCTAAAAGGGCTGACTTCATGGCATGCTTCCCAAAAGGTTCCTGCCTCCCCACAGAACCCTGGATATCACAATGATCAATCCTTTTGCCTTTTTCAGGAGCGGAAATTGCACATCTACGTGTGGTACTGTCAGAATAAACCACGGTCAGAGTACATAGTCGCGGAATATGATGCCTACTTTGAAGTAAGCCTCCAGGCAGACTTGGTGGGAGAAGTCAGAAGCCAAGGGGGGTTCTGATACATATTTATGGGGTGCCTGTGGGTCAGCACTGTTCATTGTCATCCATCAGTGTGCAGCTGCCCACTATGTGTTTATGAGCCAGAAGGGACCTCAGAGACCATCTCCTTTATTTGATAGATAAGGAAAGTGGGGCCCCTGCTTCTCAACACACACACACACACACACACACACACACACACACACAGAGTGAGCTTTCCTTCATAACATAGAAAAACAGTTAAACCAAAGGAGCTAACAGAGTGAGCCCATCTGACAGTGTACGCACCATTCTGCATGCCTGGTCCCCCACCTCTCCGAGAAAAGGAGGATGGTGTAGGGGACAATTCTGTAACCGACTTATGTTTTATAGAGGCTCTGGTAATTCCTCCCATGATGCCCCATTACCCTTTAGCATCTCTGACTTTTTTAGGTTCCCTTCTCCTCTTTCCTGGCCCGAGAGACTCTTGGCTGCATTCTCATCCTCCCAGTTCCCTTCTCATGCTTCCCCATGTTACCCTGTTAAAATGCGGCAATCCCAGGGCCTTGGGGACCATAAGGGAGAGGAAGAATTCCTGGAAGGAGCCGTCAGCTGTGCTCTAGGATACCTGAGCTGGGCTTCCAGCTTTATCTTTCATAGTAGGCTCACTGAGTGACTTTAGGAAAGGCCTTTCTTTTACTTGCCCGGAGGCCTGTGAATAATGGGGAGAATAATCCCTGTGCTTCTTGGGCTCTCAGAGTGAATGTGTGGGTGTGAGAGAAGAAAGCTCACAGTGAAGGCAATGTAGAGATAGTGGAAAGACGAGGCATCTGGGGGGGTGGAGAGAGGTGGTACCTTTTAAAAGGGAGGTACCAATCAATGCATTTACTAAATGCCTACTATATATCAGTCACTGTGCTGAGTACTGGGAATGCAAAGACAAGAATGAAATAATCCCTGCCCTCAAGGAGCTTATATTCTATTAGTGGAGACAACTTAGATATAAATATACATATAGTCATAGGTAGCTATATGAATGCATGTGTATATGTGCACATACGTATTTGTAGACACAGCCATATGTACAGACACATACACTCATATTGTGTTGCACATACACGTGTGCATACATATATTCATGTGTGTATGTACAGGTGTGCATATATCTTTGTGTGCATATTTAGGCAGGTGTATGCATATATTAATGTTGATTGCATTGCATGCATATATTTGTGTATGTATATTCATATATGTGTGTTCATATGTGTATATATATGTGTGTGTGTACTGTATTTGTACTGCTGTATTCATATGTGTGCGTGTGTGTATATGTATGTGTATATATATATATGTATATGCATACATTTGTGAGTACAGTATTGCTCTCTTATCCTTTATGCCAGTCACAGAGCTGATGAATATTGCCAAACATGGTCTTGTCTTTTCCTTTATGTCTTTAGGGACTCCCTTTTTTTATCTTCTCCTCATGAATTCCTGCAGCACCAAAGTGCACACACGTGCACAAACACACACGGGCACAAGACAACCTGTATACATATATATATATATAAAATAACTATAAAATGATGGGGCAGGGGGTGGCCTCGCCACTAGGGGAGTTTTTAGGTGAGGCATTAGTGAATAAGGCATGCATCCTGGGCATGGGGTACAACGTATACAAAGGCATTAGGATTTAGGGTAGCTGACCATAAGCATCCCTAATTAGAGGCAGCTGGGTGGCACAGAGGATACCGTGATGGGCCTAGGGTCAGACTGAAGATGGAATATTGTACATAAGGAACAGCAGGACAGGCAGTCTGACCCAATGATGGCACTGTGAGTGAAGAGGAATGATGTACATAATGTACCACCTAAGGGCTTTCTGCCATGATGTGGAGGTAGCTCCCTGCACCCTCCCAATAAATAGCTGGCACTTGATGCAGAAGGAGGGGAGGGTGTTCTTTACTAAATGTTTATGAATTGAAACAAAGGCCCTGGAGCATTTCTGAAGGATGGCTGCCTCTGTCACTCTGTCCCCCAGAACGCAGCTCTTTGGGTGATGACTGTTTTTCTAATGGAATTATCTTATTTTCCAGGAGGTGAAACAAGAAATCAGCCAGAGGCTGACACTTAGTGACTTCCTCATCAAGCCCATTCAGAGAATAACCAAGTACCAGCTGCTGCTCAAGGTGAGTGGGTGAAGGAGAGCCTCAGGTCCCATCGAGGCAGACAGCGTTCACCCAGGGTCAGCCACTGAGGACTAGTAGGCATTCTAGGTGATGCAGTCCGGTTCTGTGCAGTCACATACTTAGGGGGCAGAGTGGAGGGAGGAGAGAAGAAGAGAATGGAAGAGCTGGAGAGAAGGAAGAGGAGATAGAGAGTATGGACTGGACCTTGATGTCATTGGTATCTGGGATTCCCGGGTGAGGAAACTCGTTCACCAGTGCAGATGGGCACTTTGTCTGAAACTTACAGTCTGCAAGAACTGCATAGAGCACAGAGAAGTTAAATTACTTGCTTAAGGTCACACAGCCAATTATGCATCAGAAGCAGGACTTGAATACAGATCTTTTGGGCTTTGAGGTGCATTCCCTATCCAATATGCCATGCTGCATATCTCTCTCTCTCTCTCCCTCTCTTCTTTATACTTATATATGTGTGTATATATATATATATATATACATATATATATTTTTTTACACATACACACACATATATACATAGAACACTGTTAGTAATTGCATCCAGTTACACACAACTGAACATCAGTTGCTTGTATTTACATTGCCTGAGAGCAGATAATATGATTGCTATTGACAGTAGTTAAGGTGGCGATTTAAAGAAATATTATTTTTCTTTTAACTTAAAAAAAATAGCTATACTAAACTATAACTATAAACACTTAAAAATTAATCTCTGCATGTATTGTCTACATATCTGTAACAGTTCATTAATCATTCTTTTTCTATTTGTCTAGTCATTTGTATCTATACAGATATCTAGTTAATATTTATGTATATATAAATACATGTCTACATATTACATATATAATGATAGCTCTCTATATATTCTATGTCTGTACACACACACACACACACACACACACACACACATATATATATATACCCTCCTTCTGGGTCTTTTTTCTCCATGTCACATTATTTACTACTTTTTCCAAAATTCTACTTCCCATGTCTATCATTTTTAAAATTCATTTTGAACTTAAATATGTAAAGACAAAAAAAATAACATGTACTCAGCACAACATAAAATGAAAATTCACTATAAAACCATGAATTTACATTTCACATTATTTAATTTTAAAAAAAAAAAAAGCTATGTAAGTACTACACATTGTTTTCAAAGCTAGTCTTGTTTTCTATGCTTCCTTCTAAATTTATTCTCTGCTGTGCATTTTTTATATATTTTTCCCTCCCTCTGTATCCCTCCCATGGGCATGTATGTATGTGTGTGTGTATATATGTAGAATCATACATACATACACCTATTTATCAGTTCTTTCTCTGGAGGCAGATAGAATGTTCCTTCATACCATGTCTCATTTTTAACTTAGTTTTGAGTATAACTTACTGAGAGTCCAGTATTTGTTCGGTCTTTCATTAATTGTTAGACGTATATGTTGTCTCTAGTTTATTGTAATTAGTGTTGATGGATGTATATATACATTTATACATGCACACACAGATGCACATGCATACACATGTTACGTGGACACACAAACACACTCCACCCCAGGCCTTTCCCACAGCCCTGAATTTTCCTAGAGTTATCTTGACATTAGTCTTTTCCATTCACCCTGAGGCCGTGCTAGAAGCACTTGCCACCTGTGCCTGGAATGCAGACATCTGGGGTGATTTGACTGGCTGCCAGTTATAGGGGGTCCCCTGCATCTTTCACTAACTGACTTCACCCCTTCCTTCTTCTATTCTCTGTTTTCCCCATATTCTCTTTAGGACTTCCTAAGGTACAGTGAGAAGGCTGGTCTGGAGTGTGCAGATATTGAGGTAAGTTTCCTGGGTGGATTACTGTTAATAAGGACAAAGTAAAGCAAGATTTTCCCATGCAACTTGATGGCCTCAGTCCAAACACTACCTCCCAGCCCAGAGAAATAAGAGGACCTTTGAAATGACAAACTGATCTGTAATAAGGATAATTCACATTGAATAAACATGGACACCAATGTAGATTTATTAGCTATTAACCATTGATAGACAGTTGATTAACTCTTGACTAATAACTATTGATGTAGAATGTTAGTTTGAGAAGATAAAAGTGACCATATAAAGCACCCCAATGGTCGATCCTGCCCAGGATTTTCTCTCAGTGGTTCTACATGTTTAATAAGGACATGTGGGCCTCCTTGGCATCAGTTTTCAGATGTTAGGGTAATACTTATCTTAGGAATGTAGAAGTGTCTTAGGAGCTGTCTCTGTACTGTCTTCTCTAAATCATTTCCTGCCAAACATTGATGAGTGGGGCTGCCATGTGGAAGAAAGATTAGGCTTGTTCTGCTCTGTCCCAGCGGGCAGAGTTAGGATCAATGGGTAGAAGTTGTAGAGAGGATAGATTGCAGTTCTGAACAAAGAAAAACTGGCTAATGGTTAAAACTGTCCAAGAGTAGAATGGATTGCCTCTAGTGGTTGTGAATTCCCCATTGCTGAAGATCTTTAACAGAGGCTACAGACAGAAAATTTGTTGAGGGAGTTGTAAAGACTCTTATGGACCCTTCTAACCTTTCTTCTCAGAGATCCTGAGTGTTATCCAGGAGGTGAACAAGGCGGGTGGGCAAGGGTCCTCCTGACATGTGGCTTCAATTCCACCCTCTATTCCTCTGTAGCTTTTCCCTTTCCTGTGGGACTCAGTTTGCCTATTTCTGGAAATGAAAAGATGTGCAAACACTTGAACACTGTGATATCAGGTGGATCTGGTTTAGCTAAAGGTTTCTAACTTTTTTTTTAGCCCCAAGGGTCACCAGCCAGGCTGAGAAATGACTCTGGGAAGGAAGAAGAAATGGAGAGCTAGATAGAGTAAAGGAATGGGAGAGTCAGAGGAAATGTGACCCCTCAAATGGCCCCCAGCAGTTACCTCAAGTGCTGTGGGATGTCTACGTTGACTTAAATCAAAGGATTCCACACCTCTTTTAAGTTTTTTGTTTGTTTTTTTAAAATTTTATTCTGAACTTAAAATCAGACAAGCATTTCCGTAATATAGTAGAATAGGAAAAAAAATTCTGAAGTTTACCAGGAGACCCATACCCACCCTCACCTCTCAGGTGAGGGAGGCGGCTATACCAGAAGATTGGACCCTGGTCTTCTATCAGAATCAGCATTTCCCATGAGCCTCCTGGGCTGACATCGCCTTCCTGCCTCTCTCTTCCAGAAAGCAGTGGAGTTAATGTGCCTTGTTCCAAAACGCTGCAATGACATGATGAATCTGGGACGCCTGCAGGGCTTTGAGGTGAGTGACTGAGAATGTTTCTAAGGCTTCTTTCTTTTGTGAGGGGGATGGAGTAGGGAGGGTAGCAAAGACCTCCCAGGTTGAAGCCTTTTCCTTCTTAACACTTCCCTCTATGTCTCCTTTTTATTAAGTAACTTCAGCTAAGACTTCAAGAGGTACTTCTCTGTTCATCTCTCATCCTTCCCACCATTCCTTGGTCTCAAGAAGCTTGAAGTTTTATTTGCTTAGCATCCAAAAAAAGCCTTTCATTTCCCTCTTCCTGAATTCTAGGACAGTTTTCCAAACTGTGACCTGAGTCTCTAAGGGGCTAACAAAGACAAGAAATGCCACATTTTTAAAAGCTACTTCAAACAAACAACACAAGTATAGGAAGATACGGTCTTGAAGCAGCATCCTCTCTACTCCTTGCTTTTTCTGTCTTAGATTGACAAATGCAGGAATGCAGGGAGAGCAGAGTTATAAGATTGCCCAACCAATTTTAGTTGATGATGAAAGTAACACCTAAAAGAATAACCATATATAGGCCTTTTTCACCCTTTTAAGGAATCTTTTAAGGGCACGAGGTCCATTGTTATGGGTACTTCTAATACTGATGCATGTCCTAACCCCTCTGCAACTTAGTAAGTGGCCTTCACCAGGTGAGTAACAATTTTGGCCACAGTAACTGGTGGGAAACACTGGGGCAATGATCACCTATGAACTTAGCTAATGACCAATTCAGAGCCTGACAGTGGATGTATATTCCAAGTTTTTTCAGTTAGGCTGGTCTTGCCGAAGGTTGGGCTCTGCCTCTGAATGTCCAGTGTCATACCACAATAAGGCATTAGAGATTTGGTCAAAGTTCAAGTAATAAACTTGTCCGTAAAATGAGTAAGCCAATCTTACTCAAGTAGTCCAACCACGTATATAAAGTCTGAGAACACTGAAATGTTGATTTCTGCGCTACAGAAAGTGTGTGTTCATATCCCTGTTGGTGGTACAACAGGGTACTTAGCTATAAGTCCCCAAGGTTTGTGATGTAGTAACTATGGAGAACTTTAAAAATTCAAGTCAATAAGTTTTTTCTACATAAAAACTAGCATCATTAATAGTTAACTAAACCTTCATGAGTCAAATAGTGAATAAGCATTTATTAAGGATCTACACTGTGTTACACTGGGGCAGCTAGGTGGCACAATGGATAGAGCTGTAGGCCTGGAGTCAGTTCTAATCTAGCCTCAGACACTTACTATGTGACCCTGGGCAAGTCACTTAACCCTGTTTGCTTCAGTTTCCTCATCTGTAAAAAGAGCAAGAGAAGGAAATAGCAAACCACTCCAATATCTCTGCCAAGAAAAACCAAGTGGGGTCACAAAGAGTTCAACTCGACTGAAAAAGAACTGAATTCACTGTGTGCTAAGTGCTAACAATACAAAAAGAGGAAAAAGACAGTCCTTGCCCTCAGGGAGCTCACTATTGGAGGAAACAACAAGCAAACAAATATGCTTTTTAGGGGAAACAAACAAGTTCTGTACAAGATAAATAAGAAATAATTAACATAGGGAAGACATGAAGTAAGAGGTCGTTGAACATGAAATTATTTTTGAGTATTAATTCAAAGAGGCATGAGAATTGGCACCATTTCTTTCTTGCTTAGAAGTTAGTGTGCCACCGAGGTAGATTGGGGTTGGGGGAAGGTATGGATTTTCTAACTCTTTCCCAGGAGATCTGCTTCCTACTTTTCCCCAACCTGTTACTACTTTGAGAAGCTACTTCAGGAAAACCATTCCTAGAAGCTGAGGTGGGTGAATAGGAGAAGGGGGTGTTTGTCTCCTACGCTAAAGGAGATAGAACTCTCGAAACAAGTAAAGAAAATGAGCAAGTACATCTGTCAAGAAGTACTAATGGGAAATGGAATAAAATGGGACATGGAAATGATTAGGATTGGGATGAGGTTGGTTAGGGAAGGCTTCTTGGAAAGACAGCGATATTAAGGGGATTAGCAGCACCCTTTGGATCTGGACCCCATAAGTATGTCAACAAGGACATCTCAACCAGTGTTCCTGCTTCTGTCTGGAATTAACTGTTCCTCTTGGCAGTAGCCGAATCTCTAAAACTAAAAATGCTTTATAAAAAATCATTATAAACTTAATTATGCTTAAAAAAAAAACAACCAAGAAAATAATCATACAAAACAAGGGGCAAAATTTCACTCCAACCCTTTTAGCCTTTAATTGGGAAGAACCAAAAGAATGAACAAAAGTAAATGAGTCACTTTTGTGCTGTGTCCCCATCTAGGCCTAGCTGGAATTCTGCCAAATTTGGCCTTGTTCTCTCTCTCCATGTGGCCCTCACCTCTCAAACTCCCCTGTCCCTCCTCACGGTCCTATCTCTTCCCTCTAACATTGGATTGACTCTCTTTTATGTGTGTGTGTACAAAAAAGAACAAATGTGTATATACACACATATACATATACACATACACATATATACATGCATTACATGTATACCTGTATACATACATTACATACACACTCATACACACACATACACCCACACACACCGTTCTTTTTTTGGGGTGTGAAGTGGTACTTTGTATCATGATCTGTCAATTGTTAAGGTATTGAAGTAGAAAAGTGGATAAAGAGCTGGGCCCGGAGTCAGGAAGACCAGAGTTCATATCCAGCCTCAGACTTTTACTAGCAGTGTGACCTTGGGTAAGTCACTTAGCCTCTGTATGCCTTAGTTTCTTCATCTGTAAAATGGAGATAATATTAGTATCTTATCTCTCAGGATGGTGGGGAAGATAAAATGAGGTATTTGTAAGCCCTTTGCAGACTTTAAAGCACCAAAGCTATCTTTGTATTATTATCTTTTCACGTGGCCTATAAGATCCTAGATTCAGAGCTAAAAGGGATCTTAGAGGTCATTAAGTCCGACCCCCTTCATTTTACAGGTGAAGAAACTGAGTCCCACAAAGGATGATTGATTTGCCTAGGATCACCCAGGCAGTAGAATCATCTGAGATGAGATTCAAATCTGGTCTTCCTGACTCCAAGTTCAGTGCTCTACCCCAAACTAGATAGTAGTTTGCATTTTCTGCTTTATAAATCACCTGTGCACGTTCTCTGACCTTCATTCTACTGGGAATATGTGTTGCCATTCTTGTTGGTAAGCCTTGAGAGGCAGCTTGACATCGTGGATAGATGGCGAGCTTTCGAACCGGACAGACCAGAGTTCAAGTCCCACAAGTCTGTGACACATACCAGCCCTGTGACAATGAATAAGTTATTTGGTCTTTCAGTGACCAGAGCAACCTCCTAAGACTAAGTTACAGATCTGCATGCCTTCACTAGTGATGGAAGGTGGGAGTTTCAGGCCCCAGAAATCTCCCATACCAATGACATTATGGGCCTGAACACCACCACTCCTAAAAATTATGTTCATTCTTATAGATTTGGAATATCAGTTCCTTATCTCACATCCATGCTTCAAGTATTTCCCCCAATGTTTCTTTTCTTTTAATTTTCCAAGGAAGTGCTTGCTTTATAATTCCTTTGACTATGAATGGAGCTCCATTTCCTTTTACTTACTCACCCTACCACCAAGGGCCCTGGGGTGTAAAGTTGTTCATAAGCCACCAAGCACTATGGAAATAGAAGCTTATTTATTTGGAGCTAGGTTCCTATTCTCCTCCATAGTGGAACTAGAGCCCAGGCAAAAGCAACGCTGTTAAACAGAAATGTCCTTAGACTGCTAGGGCTCAGGCTTGGTTTCCATCGGTCATCATCCAGCATGAGTGAGGCCAAACTCTTCCCTCTTGCCTCTCCCCTCCTTCCCTTCCACACTACTTGCCCCTCCTCAGCAACCTGGAAGTTTTTCTAAATTTGAGATATTTTGAACGCTCTTGAGAAGAAATAACCGCCGCCCCTCTTTGACCATAGTCTCAGTCATTCTGTCCCAAATTATTGTGGATCTTTGCAGGAAGTAGGCCCCTGGGCAGAGATGGGACAGGATGAGTAACCGTTTAGTTTGCACCATTTAATTCGTGTTAAGTGTCATAGGAATTAGCGTATAGACACCTATGTTTGTGTATATACACCCCTACGATGCAAGGCTACACCTAAGACTCTTCAGATTTATTTTTGAAATCAGGTGTCACAGAAGGCAGCGTGGCGCCGTGGCAGGCATGCTAAACTTGGAGACAGGGGACCTAGATTTAAACCCTGGCTCTGGTCCTGAACACCTCGCCACAGGATCTTGGCCAGTCACTTAACCCACCAGGGTCTGTTTCCTTATCTGTAAAATAAGGAATCGGACTCCGTGAGGAGGGGAAGAAGGGGGCAGGAGAGAAGAGTTTCACCTAGTTCATTCTGGATAATGACCAATGAAAACTCAACCTTTCAAGTCCCTTCCAGGCCTCCATCTCAAACCCTGTTCTTGTTTTCCTCATGCCCTGGAGAAACTACTTTGCATTGCCAGTTGATAGGGTCATAGATCTAGACCTTGAAGGGAACTTTTACAGATGAGGAAACTGAGTCCCAGAGATTTTAAATGACTTGTCTAAGGTCACTCAGCTCGTAAGGGCTGATGCAGGATTTGAGCCCAGGTCTTCTTGACTCCAAGTACCAGGATGCCCTTGGAGGAGCTGGTAGATGTTTCTGCCCTTGTTCCAAAGTCCCTGGGTTCAGGGCCTGGGAGAAGTTAAGCTTAATAATTCCCCTGCCTCTGGAGCTTATGGTTTCCTTAGAGCCTTTGTTGATGTAACCTTTGGGTCAGGATCTTACGTAATAATAATGTAACTTATAAAACATTTCTGTCTAGCTGGCCACGGACTTAATATTAACTTGCTACTAGGTTGGAGATAAGCCCGTTGGAGTGCTGACCTTGGCAGCAAGATGCTTGGGTTGGAGCATGGTACAAGGGTTTCTCAGGAGCCCAAGGAGGAATGACTCGGGCAGTGAGTTTGGGTTTGGGTAATAAGGAGAAGGTCACGTGGTACCGCTGGCATACATCTGACCCGCAGGGCAAAAAGGTTCATGTTCCAATTACATGAAATCTTTTTTAGGGAACATTCTTTGGCTGAAAGGGTTTTTCTCTTCCTTTTTAAAAAGGAACTTCCCCATGAATTACAAGGTTCCTTCTGGACCTGGAACAGGCTTGGTCTCATAAGCAGAAACCTGCTGATTGAAGAGAGTGGGAAGTTTATAAATAGAAATGCAAAAAGTAAATCAGCCAGAATTTTATAAGCACCTGCTATGCACCAGGCACTGTGCTAAGCACTAGTGGTACAAAGACAGATACCAAACAGTCTCTACCGTCGAGGAGCTCGTAGTCTCACAGGGGACACAGCATGTAAATAAGATAATTAGAGATCACTTCAGAGCCTCAGTTTCCCTATCTGCAAAGTGGGTTTGATGATAGTTTGATGATGATGACCTACCTCATAGGTTGTGTGGGAGTGAATCACATTGCGGACATAAAAATGCCGTAGATAGGTGTACTTGTTATCTTCCCAGTCAGTAACCTCCCTGCCCCCCAACCTCATGGAACACTTTCTACCTCTCTGAAGCATTCTTTATCACTGGATGTTTTCGTACAAGCTAGACCATCTACTAGACTATAAACTCCACAAGGGCAGGACCCATATTGTAAGTACTGGAAAAGAGCCAAGATATAACTAACATGGTACTCATAATAGGTACTTAATCTCTGTGGAATTGTTGGATTGAAAATGTCAGAACAGGCAGTAGTGGATGCTCTTACCAGATCCACCAGATTTCTGTTGTGGCCGGCTCCTCTGTGTCTGCGGTCAGTAGCAGTGGTGGGGCCTCCTTGACCTCTCTCTCTGTCCACCCCACAGGGCACCCTGACAGCCCAGGGAAAGCTGCTTCAGCAGGATACCTTCTACGTGATTGAGCAGGACGCAGGCATGCAGTCCCGGACCAAGGAAAGGCGTGTGTTCCTCTTTGAACAGATCGTCATCTTCAGTGAGCTTCTGCGAAAGGGCTCTCTCACACCAGGCTACATGTTCAAAAGAAGTATCAAGGTGAGGAGGAACCCTAGGGGGCTGGGCAAAAGCCCAGGGGACTGAGAGTCATGTTTCTTACGTGGGTTTGGCAAGGATTTGGGTCACCCCCCAGATAGAAGCTTTTATGGGGAAGTAGTACAGGTCAGCTAGATGGCTCAGTGGACAGAGAGCTAGGCCTAGAGTCAGGAAAACCTGAGTTCAAATCTAGCCTCAGATACTTAATAACTGCTTGACCCTGGGCAAGTCATTTAACCTGTTTGCCTTAATCCACTGGAGAAGAAAATGGCAAACTCCAGTATCTTTGCCAAGAAAATCCCAAATGGGTCACGAAGAATCAAACATGACTGAAACAATTCGCCACCAACAACACACCTCTCTTAATGCAGGTTAAGATCATATTACCATTTTTGTCTACCAAGTCTCACTGCTTGAGCTTACAAGGGCACTAGAACCCCCAGTCTTTTACAGGAAAACTTCTGTCTCACCATGGCTCTACCATCTTGTACTTAAAGATGACATACCCAAGTGTAAGATTTTACATTTATCCCTATGGAATTCCATCTTAAGAGACTGAGCCCAGTGCTCTAGCCTCAGAGATGTCAATCATACAGCCCACAACTCTCAAGTGCAGTGCAAACCAGATTAAAATGTAATTGGGAACTATTTAACAAAATAAATAAAAATAGAGTAGAATGTATTTGATGTTAATATGTGGCTTTCCTATTGCAATGTGCAGCCTGCAGGGATCCTTATGGATGATTTAGTGGCCTCTGTTTCTATTGGAGTTTGACATCATCGCCCTCACTCTGTCTGCCAGTGTGTTAGCTAGCCCTCCCAGTTCAGAGTTAGTGATTAATCTGATGAATGTGTCGTCTGCGTTTTCATCTATGTCACTGATAAAAGTTTCAGCTTAGTGCCAAGCATGGAAGACGTCTTCCAGATTGACACTGACCTGTTAACAATGACATTTTGAGTCCGACCGTCCACCCAATTCTGAATCTGTCCGGTTGTTGTATCCAGTCCATTTCTATCTTCTTCACAAGAATAGCATGAGATACTTTATCAATCATCTGGCTTATAATTTTCCCAGAAATTTAAGTCAAGCTCACTGGTCTAGAGTTTTCAGACTACCCAGTCAGTCCAACCATCTCATTTTTCAACTGGGCAAATTGAAGCCTAGAGAGGGCAAGCGACTTGCACAAAGTCACATTGCTAGTAAATAGTAGGGCTAATCCTTGAATTCTAGACGGCACAGTGGATAGGGCACTGGCTCTGGAGTCAGAACAGCCCAAGTTCAAATCCAGCCTCAGACATTTAGTAGCTAGGAGATCCTGGGCAAGTCACTTAACCTCTGTCTGCCTCAGTTTCTTCAACTGTGAAATGGGAATGATAATAATAACACCTACATCCCAGCATTGTTGTGAAAATCAAATGGGATAATATTTGTAAAGTGCCCAGCACATAGTAGGCACTTAATAAATGCTTGTTTTCTCCCCCTTTCCCTACACCCATCCAAGTCCAATGGTCTTTTCCACTATACTCCACTGCTTTCCCCCACCCGCTGTTCTTCTCAGTCCATGAGATCTGTTGTAATGTGCTGAAGATTATATTTATTCGTTGCCTGAAGGAATGAATGTACATTTCTTTCTGAACAAGGGTTGGCACTATTGTATGTGATTACAGAGGAAGGGATTAATAATGTCTGAAAACCCTTTCTCCCATAATTTAGACTTTTTTTAGATTCTGGAACTTGTCCTAGTATGTGTTTGTGCGTGTATGCATTTTTCTCTCCCCCAACCTTCCCTGATATAAAATTTGGCTGGATGACAGTAATGTATGCTGTTTAGAAGGTATGCAGATATAAAGCACCTAACATAACCAGGCTCTGGATGTGTTCATGTCTCATGCAGAATAAGTGCCAGGTGCTATATTTTATAGGCTAGAAGTTGCATTGAATTTTAAAATTCAATTTGATTTTATTTTCAGTTCTGAAATTAAAAGTTTATTTTAAGTTGCTCTCACCTTCCCTTCCCCCATTGTGAAAAAAAAAGAGGAAAAACATAACCTTTTACACACCACACGCACACATACACACATGCACATACACATACGCTATACATATAGTAAATCAAAACAAATTCTCGCATTAACAATATCAAAAAAAACAAAAAACTGTTCTTGAATTTGCATTCTGAGTAACTTGGCTTCTCTATTTGGAGGTGGGTAGCATGGTTCATCATAAGTCCTCTGGAACTATAGTTGGTCATTGTATTGAACAGAGTTCCTGAGTCTTTCAAAGTTGTTTGTCTTTACAACACTGCTGTTATTACATAACTTGTTCTCCTAGTTCTGCTCACTTCACTTTGCATCAGCTCTTATAAGTCTTCCCTGGTTTCTCTGAAACCTTCATCCCCTCCATGATTTCTTGTAGCACAATAGTATTCCATCACATTCTTATACCATAACTTGTTTAGCCATTTCCCAATTGGTGGGCATCCCCTAATTTTCTAATTTTTTGCGACCATAAAAAGTTGCTATAAATATTTTTGTGCTTATAAGTTTTTTTTTTCTCTTTCGTTGATCTTTTTGAGATGTAGCCCTAGCAGCAGTATCACTGGGTCAAAGGATATGCACAGTTTAATACCTTTGGGGGTACAGTTCCAAATAGTTGCATCAAATTTTCATTTCAAAGTTTTGGGGCATGGAGAAGGGGATGAAGTCAGGAAAGATAGACTAGTATTGCTTATGAGACAGAGTGACTTGGGGTGAGTACCAGCCCCTGGAGTACTCTAGGATCACATCAGGACTTGGATTATTTTAAGAAAAAAAATTATAGTGTTACACAATAAAGATCCATAGCATATTTGTGACTCTCCCCACCCCACAACCTTTACTCCCAAAACCAAAAAATATGACTTCTAGTCTGATAAATACAATGAGTGTCACCTGGTAAACTTTTAAAAAATTTTATTCAATGTAAAAAGATGACCTTGATCTGTTCCAGATGAACTACCTTGTCTTGGAGGAGAATGTGGACAATGACCCCTGTAAGTTTGCCCTTATGAGCCGGGAAACATCAGAAAGGGTCATTCTACAGGCAGCCAATGCAGACATCCAACAAGCCTGGGTTCAGGACATTAACCAAGTCTTGGATACACAGCGAGATTTCTTAAATGGTATGTATGCCTCTTCCTCATTAGCAGGTCCATTTTCAGAGAGAACTCAGAGATGCCAGCCTCCTCCAGACTGGGCTGCCTGTAGAATATGGCACGTTCTGGGGTCTAATGTGCTTTTTTTTAGTATTTATATCACAATCATTTCTCATTCACCTTCACAACTTTCCTTGTGACCAAAAAAAACAAACCAAAAAACAAAACAAAACAATTAAGCAAAACGTCTGACATAGAAACTATGTCTGGCAATGTCTATAGTCCACATTCCAACAGTGTCCCTCACACCTCTTCCATGAAGGAGGAAGTATGTTTCATTATCCATACTCTGGGTTACAGGCTTAATGTTGGTCCTGGCCTTTGTATCCTCAAGGAGTTTAGGCCTTTAGGGTTTATCTACACTTTTAACAGCTGGGATGGCAGATTGTTTGAGCAGCAAAAGACTAGTCATTTTTGAAGAAAGATTCCTCTGATGCCTGAATGGTCAGTGCACTGATTTCTCACCACCTGCCTGTTCACTTCCTTCTCTCAAGAGATAAGAATTTAAGCAGTGACAAGAGATTGGGGAATCTTCTGGACTGGAGGAGGCCACTTGAAAATGGTGATAGGAATAATGCTTTACAGGTGCTCAGCTGCCCTTTACATGATTTTATTTGGTAATAAAAGCAATTCTGCCAGGTAGGTAATGCAACTACCCATTTTGCAGATGAGGCACTAGAGACTCTGAGTTTGCCTAATTCCACACAGTGAATAAATGACAGAGACAGGGCTTGAACTCAGGTCTTTTGTCTCCAAATCTAGTGTTCCCTTTCCTTCTCCCCACCCCCACAGACCCCCCTCAAAGTGTTTTCTAACCAACAAGAAAGAAAATATGCTGTAGTAGAGACCCCTGGACCAAACGCTAGGAATATTATCTGTAATCATGTCACCACTTAGCTGTGTTCCCTTACCAAAGTCCCTTCAGCTCTCCTGAGTTGAATTCCTCATCTATCAAATGATGGGGCTGGACTAGATTATCTCTGGGTCCCCTTCTACTTCTAACTCCTATTTTATGGAACTCTCCAGCAAAAAAAAAATTCATTTAAATCCCCTGAGTCATTTTACTCATTGTCTGATGCAGACAAAACACTTTCTGGATACTTGGCAGGGACCACAGAGGTGCTCTAATCCAGTCCCCTCATTCGAAAAGAACTTGTCTAAGGTCCCACAACTATTTAGTGGTAATGTTGGGACTAGAATTCAGGTTTTCTGATTCCTACTCATGTGGTTTGGCATTGGAGTTTTTTTTTCTTTTTCACACACTGGAAAAGATTGTACGGCCCATGAGTTGGTGATATTTTCTCCAAGCAGATTTAAAAAGGAGGGAGTTGGGAACTTTTCATCATATAGAACAGCCTTCCTATTAACAGAGGATCAAGAGATCCCTGGAAATAAACAAAGCCAACACAAAATGCTTTAGACGCTTGACTCTGGACAACTCCTACCACTTGTCTGCTCCTCAGCTTACCTATAAAATGAAGGAATTGTACTAGAAATGCTATTGTTCCATGAGCAAATGCAGGACCTGCCCTAAGCAAACAGTGACTGCTCGTGAGAGAATATGTATCACTTTGAATGTAGCCAGCAGTGGATAGAGTTCCACGCCTGGAGTCAGGACGACCTGAATTCAAATCTAGTCTCAAATATTTACTAACTAGACGACCCTGGGTAAGTCACTTAACCTCTGTCTACCTCAGTTTCCTCAACTGTAAAATGGGGTTAATGATAGCGCCTACCGTCCAGGATTATTATGAGGATCAAATGAGACAAAGTGCTTAGCACAATGGCTGGCACATAGTAGGTCTCATTTAAATGCTAACTATTTTATATTATTATTAGATCTTTAAAAGATTCTTTTAGGTATTGTTTTCCATAAAAGCATGTAATTTTTCTTTCTTTCTTTCTTTCTTTCTTTCTTTTTTTTTTTGGCAAGGCAATTAGGGTTAAGTGACTTGCCCAGAGTCACACAGCTAGTAAGTGTCTGAGACCAGTTGAACTCAGGTCCTCCTGACTCCTGGGCCAGTGCTCTATCTGCTGCACCACTTAGCTGCCCCAGCATGTAATTTTTCAACAGCCAATAGAACCTCCTCAAAGCCCATACTAATTGGGAATCTAACAGTGATTCAGATGCAGGTTGTGCTGAAATATACAAAAAAAAAAGCCATTAGTTTTGAAAGACTACAGGGGATACTTTAAAAACAGAGAAGTTTCAACTTTTTTTAAAATGTTTTATTGATGCCTCTTATCTTTACAGCACAGTCATTTTCCTACCCTACCACCCCCCTCCAGACTGAACACCTCCCTTGTGCCGAGAAGAACAAATAACTATACTCAACTTGTAGAAACACTTGAACAGCTTCCATTTGCAAATGTACCACCGATCGCCCAAATACAAATGACCCCTATTGATTCATTAGAGCAGGCCTAGCCACATGGCAACTTGCTGACAATTAGTTCTTTTTGCTATATGGATTTTAAAGTTTGGGGGGAAAAAAAAAGCTAAACTTTATATAAAAAATTCAGACTTTTTAATGATTCTGACTGGCATTCCCCCAATTACATTGGATTAATGAGGTCTTTTTGAACTATAGTAAACACTTACATAAACATATTTCTTTGTTCCATACACACACTGTCAAGGGATGGAATAGGGAGGTTTTGGGTTTTTTTTTGGATGGTTGGTTTTCCCTGTTGGCAAAGACCAGTCCCATTCTTGGTATACATCCAATGAGATACATGGTGAAAGCCCAATATGATGTTCTTTATTTGGCTATCAGGAGACAATACAGGACCAATCTGTCCCTCCAGAGACCTTAGATGGGATAAGAGAATACACGTTCTTGCTCCCATAGATGTCATTGCTATAAAGGATTTTTTGAAAGTATATTCATCTGTTATACCAAATGGTTTCCAAGCACCAGAGGGCTGGTGACCCACTTACTTCAAGTGACATTCAAGATAATGATATTCCAATAATAGCAAAGCCATGTGGACACTTTTGGAGTTTGCTATAATGGAATTTGACTTGTATGACTTTCTTACAGTCATATTTCAGACCTCAGAGCTGGTAGCTACCGTCAGGTTGCATTGCCTGGCTCGTCCCCTTTCTCCTTTGACCCCCTAAGGCAGAAATCATAATAGCACAGCTGGGATCATGGGTGTACCAGCAACGCATTAGGACAGGATAGGGGGACAGTTCTTCCAGCCTCTGGAGACCACCTTCCTGCCCCTTTTTCCTGCTTCCTGCCTCTATTTTCCCATTCACTTCTCCTACATCCTCTGGTGCAAGAGGAAAAAGGAGGCTAGTGACTTGGTCAGTCTTTGTGCCAGCACCCCTTTACAACTTCTTCTAAACCCTCTCCATGGTGCTTTCTCTCCTTCTTCCTTCCCTGAGGTGGGACCTGGGGATCTCAGTCATTTGTAACTGGCTAGTTCTAGGTCAGGGGAAATTCAATTAGACTTTTTTTGTCCTTTTTCCTTCTGGCCACTTTATTTTCCGTGTCTCTGTCCAGACTCTTTGGTTGATATGTGTAAGAAAGAAAAAAAAATATTTTACATTCCAACAGGCTTTATCTCTAGCCACTAATCGTTGAAGTCCACTGCTGGTCCTTCGTGGCAAAGTGTAGGACTAGAGCAGCAGGGTCCAGTTGGAGGGGTGCTTTTTTTAGCCAAGAAGATAAGGTTGAAAAGGTTGATCGTTAGTGGAGGGGAAGGATTTCATTAAAAGGAAACCTGGGCAAAGCTTGAATTTTTAAAGTACAGTTTATGTGTATGTGTGTGTGTATATATATATATAATATATATATATATACACACATACACACATATGTATGTATACACATGCACACACACATGTACATTTTTAAAAAAATAACTTGTAGTATCTTTAGTTTGAATAAAAACAATGACCTTTGTAATAGAGGATTCAATAAATGCTCACCTTAAAAAAGGTAAATTTCCCTGGGTGCAGACCCTAATGAAATGTGCTGCATATGCCCAGGGTGGGGATGGACCTCAGAGGTCATCTGATCCTATCTGAGCAGGAATCTCTTCCCAACATCCCTGATAGGCAAAGACCCACAGTGCTTTTGTTCTCTCACCTGAGCACCCGTCATTTGTTCCTTGGCCCTTACAATTCTTTTCTTTCCCCTGATTGATTATAAGCTCCTGCCCTTGAGGGCAGGCAGGCCCTCCCCATCTTCCTCATCCCGTGAGATCCCTAGAGTACCTCGCACACAACAGTCACTCATATATTGCAGAAGGGAGGGGACACAAGTTGACTCAATGAAGATTAGGAATCGGTAACTGACTCTTCTCCTACAGCGCTACAGTCACCGATTGAGTATCAGCGGAAGGAACGGAGCACGGCCGTCATGAGGACCCAGCCTCCCAGAGTACCCCAGGCCAGCCCCAGGCCCTACTCTGCCGTCTCTGTGGGGGCTGAAAAGCCCCCAAAGGGCTCCAGCCGTAACCCATCACTGCCACCTCTGAAGATATCTACCTCCAATGGCAGTCCAGGGTTTGACTACCACCAGCCTGGGGACAAGTATGAGCCCAGCAAGGTATGTGGGTTTGTAATAGGACTGTATTGCAGGGCTCCCAGGAGGTGTTCTTACAGGCTATTTAGGAGTTCAAAACAATTAATTCTCAACTTCCTCATCTGTAAAATGGGGAGACTGGACTAGGTCAAATCTTCTTAGCCTGGGGTCTGTGAACTTGGTTTTAAAAAATATTGTGATAATTGTATTCCAGTATAATTTTATGCATTTAAAACAGTCAAGAGAAGGAGTCCGGGACACAAAGGTCCTAGAGAGAACACCATGGTCCCTTCAGGCTCTAATATCCTGCTATTTTTATATACAGTAAAGGGGGTGGGGAAACCAAGGACATGGATAATGCAAAAGTTATGATCCTGGAATTCACTGTGGCTTTTAAAAAAAATATTGCCATTCCTAATGATGATTGACTCAGGCTGTTATTAAAATGAGTTCACATTCCCTGAGCATATTTTGGTTGATGGTAAAGAGAGGTGGTTAAGGAATGTACTTGGCAGGGTAGGGAAGAAGTAAAAAGCCAGCCTGGAATGAAACACTTGCTATAGGTCATCTATGAACTCCTAGCATCCCTGTGTGGATAGTTCAGAGTTTGCTCTAGGCCCAGACCCAGAAACACAGCTGTCTGAACACTCCAGATGTTACTAGCCAAGGCCATTGTGGTAACCCAGTAAGAACACTGGACTGGGCTTCCCAAGACCTGGATTCTATTTCCAGATCTGATATTCTGTGATCTTTTGAATGGAAACTCCTAAAGGATTTCTTTTCCTACAGATTTAGAGTCTTTTGTCTCTAGAGTTTTAAAATACCATTTTGGGTTGATTTTTGTCTTAACCAATTGTGATTGACAAGTTCTGATCAGTGCCCTCTGCCTATCCTAAGGAAAGGAACCAGTGTATTCTTCCATATTTCTTGGGAATGAATAAACATCCTTACCTCACCCCACTTTTGACTAATGTGAGCTAGCTTAATTCACATGAACAGTTTGTCATGATATGCTAAAGAATTAACAAAGAAGTACTCACCGTGAGTTAGTGGGTAATATTGACCCAGCTGCTTAACAGATTACAAATGTCAGATGGAAAGAATGTGTGCCTTGGCGTCAGAAGAGCGGGGTTGAAATCCAAGCTCAGATACCTACTAGCTTTGTGACCATGAGCAAATCACTCTCTCTGTCTCTCTCTCTCTCTCTGTCTCTCTTTGTCTCTCTCTCTCCGCCCCCCTCCTCCCTCCCTCCCTCCTCATCTGTAAAATGGGAATGAGGAAGCTAGGTAGCAAGGTGGATAGAGTGTAGGACCTGGAGTCAGGAATACTAATCTTCCTGAGTTCAAATCTGGTTCCAGACACTTATTAGCTGGGTGACCCTGGGGAAAGTCACTCAATTTCCCCATCTATAAAATGAGCTTGAGAAGGAGATGGCAAACCACTCCAGTATCTTTGCCAAGAAAACCCCAAATGGGGCCGCAAAGAGTCAGATACGACTCAGCAGCAACATATGGATAATAATACAGACATCATCTGCTTCATAGGATTGTGGTGCAGAAAACACCTTGTAAAGCTTCAAATGACATGTCATGAGGTATTATTGCTAAGGATTATAATACTGAGAGATTATCTGCATAGATGTCAGAAGTGAGTACATTAATAGGATGGAGACTAATTTCAAAGCTTTAGGGGAAGAAGGGGTGAGCCTTGAGCAAGTCACAGCCCTCTCTTGGGTCCCTGTTTCCTCCTCTTTCAAATGAGGAGATTGGATTAAGTTGGGTCTAGTTCCTTCTCCTACTGGTAGGAAAGCATGGAAGTCAGTCCGTAGGCCCTAAGGAAAAGGACAAGAGGATATAACACCTGTAGTGTTTTAAACCTTAGCTGCTTGTTTGACAAACCAATCTACTCCCCAACTCCTTATTCCCATCTTTGTATGTAAGGGGCATAGCTAGGAATCTTTGTGTCCTGAAAATTGTGCCATTGGGATATAATCTGTTTGGACCCACATATCTCATACCCCCAAACTAAACATCACTTCTCCCCTGCAAGAACATGGGGCAGGTGTGGTTTTAAGAGAAAGGCCATTTTCTGTATCCACAGCAGCTGGTTCCACTCACCCACCTCTAGCAATGCTATTGTCTAATGGAGGTGATGCTGTTAAGTTTCATCATCTGTTAAAGGGGGTAGAATAATTCCTGAGGTTCTAATGATATCATGGATACCCAACATTTCAACAGCTTGGAAACAGTATAGAACTTCTTTAAAAAAAAAATTGTATTGCTATATTTTCAAAGCTCTTTCACTATCATAGAATGTCTGAGTTAGAAAGGTACTCAAAGGTCAACTACTATAAGCCATACCCAGTAGGAATCTCCTTTTTAACATTCTCAGCAATGAGTTCTTTAACCTCTGGTTGCAGATCTCCAGCCATGGGGAAACAAACTAACATCACCTGAATATGCCCATTCAACTTGGGAATGCTCATTAAGTAAGTGTTTTCTTACAGTGAGCCAAAATCTGCTGTTCTGCCCTCTGGGAGCCAATCTGATCAGTCTAAATTTTCTTCTATATGATAAAAACCCTTCAAATATTTTAAAACTACTCTCCTAGGCCCTTAAGTCTTTTCTTCTTCAGGTTAAATGTTCCCAGTTCCTTCAATAAATCCTTGCACACCATGGAATGCTTTCAATGTGCTTTCTGAAATATGGCACCTGGAATGGAACACCATGCTCCAGCTAAGGTCTGACTTGGGTAGAAGACAGCAGGGGACTGTAAGCTTCTTTGTTCTGGACACGATGCTCCTTGGAAGGTCATCTTGGTTTTTGATGCTGTGGAATTCTGCACTTTGTTTCACGATGCCTATAAAATGAAAGTTAGAAATCACTTGGGTCAAAGGATTAGCAGGGGATGTTCTGTGGATCAGAACTTCTCTCCAAGCAGAATGCTTATACATTAATAAATTGTGTCACTGACAGATTCTAGCTAAAACACAGATTGTTTTTGTTCCAGAGGAGCAGCCAAAAATAACAATAACCAACATTTATGTAGCACTTTAATGTTTGCAAAGCATTCATATACACACACATATATATTTCATATATGTGTGTATAAATCTGATCCTCACAATGGTTCTAAGCTGGGTGCTGGTATTACATTTTATAGATGAGGAAACTGAGTGAGGTTCACTGACTTGCCCAAGGTGACAAAGCTAGTAAGTGTCTGATGCTGGATTTGAACTTGTATCTTCCTGAGTCCAAGTCCAGCACTGTCCATCTGACTAATCTCGCTAATGGGATCCTACATGGGCTTTTAATTATGGAGTAGGAAGCAAAGCAATGATCTCCTCAAGTTTTCTTTGACATCTCCCTTCTTTCTTCCCCTCCTTCTCTACCAGAACGACATGGGAGGGTGCAATGGGACCTCATCCATGGCAGTGATCAAAGATTACTATGCACTGAAAGAGAACGAGATCTGCGTGAGCCAGGGCGAGGTGGTCCAGGTTCTCGCCGTCAACCAGCAGAACATGTGCCTGGTCTACCAGCCCGCTAGTGATCATTCCCCTGCAGCCGAGGGCTGGGTCCCGGGCACCATCCTGGCGCCCCTCACCAAAGCCACAGCTGCAGCAGAAAATAGCGACTCGAGCATCAAGTAAGTGCCACGTTGGCTTTCCCGGGAGAGCAGTATATGGATTAGGAAAAAAAAAAATCCAACACAGTAGGGAATTACCGCTCCTCATGCTCGACAGTGCACTGGAACCAATGTCTGAATGCTGGAACCACACACCATGGGGGGCGTCCATGCCGGATAGTTTTGGTTTTTGGTTTTTTCTTTTTGTTCATGGCTTTCTGTTCATTTTTTTCGCCTTCTCCAACCCTTTGCCCCCTCATTTGCTTAAAAAAAAAAAAAGAAAGAAAAAGAAAAGAACCTTAATGAAACCCTGAGTGATTAAAGGCATGCTTTCTGTTGCTCTGTTTGAGCCTCCCATCACAGGACTCACTGGACTGGACTTCTATTTATGTTGTATTAAGTTACTGAGATATATATATATATTTTTTTTTTGATTATGACACACACATAAAAAACACCCCACCTTAGCACAAACCCCATGCCTGCTGTAGGCTGAAGGCCTGCTGCTGTCCCCAGGGGAAGAAGGGGGCAGGGGATGGAGGGGACTTTTTTTGGGGGGGGTTACTTGGTGGGAATTTCTTTGTACAGTTTGTAACTTTTTCAACCCATTCCTGCCCCCACCCCCATTTCCCTGTTACTTTAATATATGTTCCTGGTAATTTGTAAGATATTTCTTTTTTTTTAATTGTGAGATCCTTCAGAGTACATTCCTGTATAAAGTATTTTGCACTATTTAAAAGAAACCCATATGGATGAAGCCAGGGTGTGCAATATATTGGATAGTCGCAATGTTCATCATTGTACCTGTAATGTAACTAATAATTTTAAATGTACTATTTTAAATATGTAAAATAAATTTTCACCATGAGCATGTTTTAATGAGGTTAAAGAATTAGTTGACCCTTCATTCTCCCTACCCTGAGCCCCAAAACCTGAATAACATTTACTCTTATAGTGAAATGAGTGGGTTGAATCTGTCTCCCCCCACCCCTTCTCTTCAAATTTTAAAAGTTGGTCCAAAGCCTTGGTTGTCCCTTATCCCCTTGAAATCAATCAACCAACGAGCCACTTGTTAAGTGTCATGCCATGCCAGGTCCTGGGGATAAAAAGGCAATGGATTAAAGAAAAGGGTGGTCATAGTTGAAGAGCAGGCTAGTCTTCCTGGTCCTTCCCTACCTGTTGGTTTCCACCATCACAGAAGATGAAGAATGATGCCTGCTGGGCTCTGTCCAGCCTATTTCTGGCAAATGCATGATCTCAAGGTGGATGACATAAAGGAACTGCTCCAGTAGACCTCGTCACCTGGCTTGCACCCTCCCACTTCTGGCCCCTTTCAGCAGCTGTGTGCAGCGGTGGGGTGAGGGACTTTTCCATTGCTTCCTCTGGTTAGCAGAGTCCAAAGAACCAGGTGCCTCTGGCTTCATTGTGGCTTCTGCTCTCACCCTTCCTCTAGGTTGGGGAAGAAGGGGAGTCCCAGCATCATTCCTGATCCTTCCAAATGACTATAGTCCTTCCAGACTTAGTCTGACATCAAAATGGCATTGGCTGTCCAGACCTGAAGGATCCAGTTGATGTTGTCGGTTCAGACCCTAGTTCATTTTTGCTTACGCTTTCCCTCCATTCTCTCTAGAAAATCTCAGGGCTTGGGAATGAAACTTCCCCAAGCTCCAAAGTGCCTGCTCAGTAGAGCAATCCCAGCTCTGTGATTTAGGAGCTACTCCTCTGGGACGGAGAGCATCTCTCCCACCTCCCACTCCTCACCTCTGGGTCATTTCACCTTTCATCTGTACCCCACTTCCTACCCGTTGGTTTCCACCATCATAGAAGATGAAGAATGATGCCTGCTGGGCTCTGTCCAGCCTATTTCTGGTCAATGCATGATCTCAAGGTGGAAGGAAGGCACAGGCTGGGAGAACAAGAGGTGATTGAATCTGTCAGTCTGGGTCTTTGTCAGCAGCCTTCGAGATTGGAAGGGAATGGAAACTAATGGCTTAAAATCTAGTCTTTTGTATTAGTGACAGGGAACACTTCCCAGGCTTCCCTAGGGTATGCCTTGAGCACAAAACATGCTGAGTTGGTTTTAACATCTACAATGCTGGTCACCCAGCCAGTGACCACCCCAGGATTTCTGTCTGCTCATGTCCAACAGATGGACATTCGTAAGTCATAATGACTAACTCTTTGGGATGGAAAAGCTCAAATTCTGGCTTCCTGTGGCCTCACCAATTAATAAGTATCTCCCTCCCTGTGCCTGGTTCTTAATAGATCGAATGCTGTATCGAGCCAACCTAGAAAATATAGATGGTCTTAACATGTGTAGAAAACATTCTCTCCTCTTGTACCCTTCCCTTCCCACTTCAGAAGTAAACACATAAAATATACCTGTACCCACTTACACAGGGAGGTTTCCCCAAGAGCTTTCTCCATTAGGACCACCAAAGCTAAGACCAAGGCTTCAAGGTAAACTGGACTAAGTTCAGTGGAGTGAAGAGATCTCAGCCAAATCTCAGCCACATCCATGGCAGTGTGAGATCTAGCTAGTGACATATACCTTCCCCAAGTTCATTTTTCTATGAGTATGTGGAGGGAAGTAGGCACAGAGCTGACCTCTTCCATTCCATTGCTAGGTTGCTGAGGATTCTAAAGAAGATAGCTAGAATGTACAAATGAGGCAGCCCTCTCCTTTTCAAAGGCAAATGAGATCTAATCTACTTTATGGGGCATTTCAAAACATTTATAAACATTTTTTTTTAATTTCTTTAATAAAAAAAATTTCTTTAATAATAACAGCTCAGCAGTTCACCAAGCACATTTCCCAATACAGAGAGACCCCTGAAACAACTTCCCTAGATCCTTTCTTCTTGACATTCCCTACTGAGAGCTAATAAAAATCTGCCTACTATTTGCCTATTATTACTACACTGTACTGGGCACAGAGGTATAAATATAAATACAAAAATGAAATAGTCCATGCCTGCCCTCAAGGAACTTGCATTTCAATAAAGGGACATCATACACATGGGGGAATGGTGACCATAAGAGGCAGTTTGTCTAGGCAATCATAGGGGTTGTGAGTGAAGCCAGAGGATATTAGATAATAATGCCTTCCCTAGCTGCAATGATAATATTAATTTGATTACTGCTCCAAGAGCAAACACTGGAAGAGGACAGAGCTACAAGCACTGTGGCTAGTGAAATGGCAAAACGCCCATGCAAGTGAAGACCCTGGTGGTGTGGTGGATGGTTGGAACTTAGTCATGCCCTCTCCTGGATCATCCTGTTCTTCCTCCTCCCTCTCCCCTACTGGGCCCCAAGCCTCTGTTCTGGCTCTTCTTTCTTGCCTTTTTTATGTATATCACAATTTGCCGGTGAAGGGTGTGATTGGGTTAGGGGGATTTTGTTTGTTTTTGAGAAATCGCCCCTGCCAAGTCTAAGCAGCATTTTGTCCAGACTATGACTTCAGCCAAGATGCTGCCACCACATGCAAATAGAGAAGAGACCCTGCCCCAAACAGGACTGGAAGTGGTAATCAGCCTGCCCAAAATGGTGAACCATATTTGGGATTTGGCTTTGGGATTCTCTTCCTCTGACTATATCATGATGCAAATGAGGTTTAAGTACTCTGATCAACTTCATTAGATCAAATAACAGGTTTCTGCCAATCCAAAACCTCATCTTCATCACTGGGATAAAAGGAGACAAAATGGGGATGAAATGGTGGAACAACTACTTCCCACCCACTCCATACTTATGATTACCTGGTAGCAGAAATTACATCTTTTCTCAGTAGGAAAATATCAGCTGTCTAAGAAATATGCATAAAATGGGCTTGGTCATACAAAGAATGGAGACCAGAAACAGCCTTTGATCTAGAATGCCCAGAAAAATAGAGTACTGGGATTTCCTGCTCTAATTATCCAAATCATTGCCTCCATGATCCATATCATTTGACTGTTGGAAATGAAACATAAGCTTAATTAAACATGAGTAGAATTTCTAATAGAATAAGGTCCTCCCCAAGTCCAAATCAATCATTTGGGTTTTAACAATCTCAATCAATAGAACATGCATTTATTAAGTGCTTACTATGTGCCTGGCACTGTCCTAAGTGCTAGGGATACAGAGAAAGATATAGGATCTGCCCTCCACGAGCTTACGTTCTAATAGTGAAGACACTATATCTTGTGTGGACCTATATAGGTAGGTCCACACAAGATAAATGCAGAGGACAGATAGCTAGTGTTACTCCTTCCTTTCCTTTCCTCTCACCTTTCTTCACACCCAAACATATGCCTCACTCAGACTGTGAGCTGATTGACCATTCAGCTCCCTTGGAGCAATTGAAGCAACCTCTGTTAACAAACCTTCCCTTGTAGGCCCACTGACCAGCCATTACTTTCTTTCTCCATAGTGTTAAGAGGTAGTTATCTCTTTGAATTTAGGATGGAGAGGTAACAAAATTCACTTCAAAGTGGGACTGAGGCCAGTCTTGCCAATCAAGGGGAGAGTTGGCATGTCAGGTCATCTGGCACTGAAGGCTGGGAGTTGGCCAGAGCTCTTCGTCTCCTCAGAGGGTGGTGACCTCTCACGCCTCCTCACTTCTACTCTGACCTGCCATTTTGATTGGTGCATTTTTTGGTACAACAGGAAGTCATGTTCATGGCATACCCTACGCATGAGAAAGCGGGCGGAAATGGAGAACACGGGTAAAAATGAATCCACAGGGCCTCGTAAATCCAAGGAGATTCTGGGCAGCAAAGTCTCAGTTAAAGTGAGTAAGGTATTTTGGAGCTGTGCCCTCCCCACCTCTCATCCTGCCTCTTCCACCCCACAGCATTCTCACCAGTAAGTTTGGGGGAGGTATTTTTTTATTTTGGTTTTTTGGGTTTTTTCCCCCTTCAACTGAGAGAGCAAATAGTTTGTTAACAGGATTTTGCATGCAAGATCAATTTTTTTTTTAAATCTTTAATTTTTCCTGGCATCTTCAATACAAGTAAGTATCTTTTTAAAAAAACTTTTTTCTTGGTTCCATATAGATGTTTTTAGCAAAGTTTTCTATAACTTTATCTGATAGGAAAAGTAAGAGGTTTCATTCATCTGGCCAATGAGAATATAGCAAGGTTAAAAGTGACAGAGGTTGCAGGGGTGGGCAGTGAGCAGAGTTCTAACCCACCAAGCTTCTCTATGGAGACTGAGGTTTTGAGTGAGAGGGTCTCCATGCCAGGTTGGTTCAATTACATTTTATTTCTTTCCTGCAGAGTTCAGGAGACCTCAACTTAGTGACATACTCTTTGCCTGTATCCAGTTTTCCATGAGTGTGTAGAGGGAAGGGAGGTGGGCACAGAGAGGACACCCAATATAGTCCTGTGCAAAGCTCTGCCCAGCTGATCATAGGCTTCATCAGACACTGGTTCCCACATAGCACTCTGTCAGCCTAGCTTAGCGTGCTGTGTGCTAGGACCTTTCTGCAGAAGTCTGCCATCAGCCAAGAGAAAATTGCAGGCTTGCTTCTGTTTACATTTATTTTAAGGCATAGTTGTCTGTGTGGGGGTTTTTTGTTGTTGTTGTTTTGTTGTTTTGTTTTGTTTTTTGCCTTGAGCAAAGCAGGCCCAACCAGAAAGCCTTTTGCTGGTCTCACTGCTGACACATATAGGCTACATGACCTTGGGCAAGTCATTTCCCCTTGGCAATTCTTTAGGACCATAAGTTGCAGAGAAGCTACCAACCTGCATTACTAGAAAGAATTTCCTCACCTAGGAGTTCCTTATACGAATGAAATAACAGTCCCAGTCCCTGTCTTCTATCCATGGGGAACCAAAAGTATTCTTTCCTTCTTGTTTAGAACCTCCAGCCTCCAAAGAGAAGACAACAGTCCTGGTTCTA